ACACATTCCTGCTACTCCCCCTTCAGAAAGGGGGGGAGAGAGAGAGAGAGAGAGAGAGAGAGAGATTTGAGCTCCACGCCCTCTCTGCCTCTGACTCTGTGCAATGCCTCGGCAAGTGTGTGCATTGCACCCCAGCAGGCGAACCTGCCGGAATTTCCCCTGTGGCCTGTAGCCGCGATGAGAAGAAACAGCCAGAGGGAGAACAGATCCCTGAACAGCGTGCCTCAGTAGAGGGAGACCTCCCAAATGCCAAAGGCGCGGGACTCCCGCATCTGGCGGCCGTGGGTGTAGCGGGGCGCACAGCAAGACCCGCTGCAGAGAACCACTGCGAGTGGCCCCTCGCAGGCACAGCAGGCCACGGGGCCTGACTGCGCCTGGACGGGAGCCACAAACATGCGTGTCGTGACCGAGGCAGCGTGCGCGCAAGACGAACCAGAACTGGCGGGCGGAAGCGTGGCTCATTCCGCACCGCGGCGCCTCAAACGGCGTGTGAGGGAGACGTGAGCACAGACGCGTCAGCAGCCCAGCGTCCGTGGGAAAAGGCACAGCCCGTATCGTGGCTTCCTCGCCACAGGCAAGGACAACGTCCTGCGCGGCCAGCCCGGCAGTCAGCAGGCACTCCGATACTGCACAAGGCACCAGCACCTTGAGCAGCAAGAGAAGAGATGCAAAAAAGGACAGAGGAAAGTAAGGTCACGCCAACAAAACCTGGCGGGGCCACCCCTCTAGAGTAGGCAAATCAGAGTCATTGCCGTCCGCAGGAAAAAAAACGAGACTCCACCACCGGACGTTTGTCCTCCTGTTCTCGAAGCGAACCCGCCACATTCCTCAAGAACGTCCTGAGGTCTTGTGAGCTGGCTGCGGCAGAGAAGGCAGGGGGCGCTCCTCGAAGGTACAGCGCCGCGCCCACCCTGCACAGCAGACAGAACGATGGGAGGAGTGAAGGGGTCGAGCCCGCGTTTGCAAAGGTCACGCCAGACATACGGGGGGGGGCCTGGAGGGAGAACCACTACAAACCTTCTCGAGATCCGCCAACCGCGCGCCAGTGCTGTGGAACTGGCAGCGCGTACAAACAAAAAGGTGACTGCCACCTGGGCAGCGACAAGCAAGACCTCTGTGTCCCAAAGCGGTGACGATGCCTTCGCCTAAATCGCATTGCCCCGCACAGTGACACAGAAACGGTACTTCTTTTTGGCGACAGCCTAGAAGACAAACTCTGCACCTCCAAAGCTCCGACCAATCAGCCCAGAGGTGGCCTGGTTTATCGTGCGAGAGCTGCGGGTGGTGGGGCACGCGAGCAGCGCTCTTGAACTCAGTGCGAGGCCAACGCAACAAAACCTCGCCGGCCAGTGAGCACACAGCCCGAGCAATCGCAGCTTTTGTATCCACGGCCTCCACGCCAGTCACGTCGGAGAGATACATGTTCAAAGCGCGCTTGGCAGCACTGTCAGCATGATTATTGCAACGCCTAAAGAAACTTTCCTGGGAGAAGATACCCTCCTCGTCCAGGTTCTTGTGATCCACTACTGTAATACTGTCTTGAACTCAAATTGCCTTCACAAGCGCTGGCTTCCAACACCATTCGACTGTAAACGCGTTTTACCCGAAAGCCTGTCGGGACAGTGCAACAGGGAATGCTCCCAAACGTGCAATCACTGTGCAACACCAAATGATACCGGAGAAAAGCCCCAATCCGATGTTTTAGGTCTATAGGGCTATAGGGCTATAGGGCTATAGGGCTATCGGGCTATAGGGCTATGGAGCTATCGGGCTACAGGGCTATAGGGCTATCGGGCTCTAGGGCTATAGGGCTGTAGGACTGTGACCTATAGGGCCATAGGGCTATGGGGCTATAGAGCTATATGGGCTATGGGGCTACAGGGCTATAGGGATATAAGGCTATTAGGGCTATAGGGATATAAGGCTATAGGGCTACAGGGCTATAGGGCTATAGGGCTATAGGGCTATAAGGCTACTGGGCTATTGGGCACCCCCAGGCACCCGGGCACCCGGGCCCGGCCACCGAAATCGGCCACGCACCTCACCGGCCACCCGGGCACCCGGGCACCGCCGGGCACCCGGGCACCCGGGCACCCGGGCCCGGCCACCGAAATCGGCGACCAACCTCACCTAACCCTTTAATCCTTTAGGACCCCTACAGAGGCAAGCTCTGATTGGGGAAAGATACGTCACGTACCCCGCGCGAGAAACAACTCACGAGTCTGTGGCGTCTGAGGGTACTGTACCCATACAGGGCCTTCGGTTTCCCCGAAGAGGTCGCCGCTGCTGCCGTGCATGGTTAGCTCCAGCCAGGGACGCTCGGCTGAGCTTCTTGACAACATGCCTCTGGCACGACCCGTCGAGGAACAAGTGGCCGCAAATACCCTCCTTAGGGGCCTCCAAGCCTTCAGGGCCGTCCAGCAGGTCTTGGTGCCAAGCACACTGGACCTGACCCTCCAGACACGGACGAGGAAGGGTGTCGGTGGGGTGGCCGAAAACCCCAAGAGAAAAAAGGTCGGCCGAGCACCCGTCAGCCTCAGTGTCCCGAGACGCTGCTGAGACCGACGCTTCCACCACCTCAGTGCGAATGTGGTCACAGTGGGGGCAGACCCAGAACCGGTGGTGGATCGTGTCCCTTGCTCCGCAGCGCGCGCATGTCTCTCACAACATAGATCCGTACCCCGTACTTCTGGCAGGCGTCAACAGAGCATTGCATGCAAGGGCTTTGACCATCCCTGTCTCGCAAGGCGTGTACTTCTTCGACGACGTCGAAGCCCTACGGACGTCTAAGCAAAGCCTGGCATCCTCCCCCTTTTTGTCCCCTGAATCCCTCTCAAGGGACCGAAGCAGGGCCTCACGGCAGAGGATGGCCAAAAGCTCGGGCGAAGTCAAGCCCAGGGAAATCTCGCACCCACGGTCGTCGATGATACTCATGCAAGTGGTACAGTCATCGGCCTGACCTAAGGAACGATAAATAAGGAACGAAGCCCCTGTTTTCCAAGGAAAACGGCATAAGGAACGATACACCATAAAAAAACGCATAAGGAAGGATACGTAACGCATGCAAGCCTTAAGGAACGACCGAGCCCCTTTTGAAAAGTAAGTGTTCCTTGCTCAAGCCGCTCACTGTATCTGACAACCAAGCCTGACTAAGGTGAGCCTGAGAGCATGGGTCCAGCACCCGTCCCCGATTGATGCGAGGTCTGGCTCAGACAGCTCCCCACGCCGCTCTGAGCTCAGCAAGCGGGAGACTGCCTTGAAACAGCTCGGCTTGGGCGAGTCACATGTCCTCGCCCCATCTGAGCACGGGGGCAGAGGCCGCACGCCACCCTGGACCAGAGGACGGGATGCAACAGGCAGTGAGACTGGGCAAACGGTCCAACCTTGGAGAAACCAGTCCTTGTCATCAACACCAGATCATTGCCACTCGCTGCCACGATGTCGCTACCATACGCTCCTCCAGCCAAAGGGCCAGCAGCAAAAACGCGCAAGTTTGTACGACCCAGGGTACCTGTTTGACCTGTTCGGCCCTCCTGAAACAGAATAGAGAGAGAGAGAGAGAGAGAGAGAGAGAAAAAGAGAGAGGGATAGAGAGGGATATACATATACAGGGGGGTGGCCCGGTGGGTTCCCCATTCGGCCTGAAGATGAAGACTCTATTTGAAGACTCTATTGTGTTGGAGACTTTATTTGAAGACTCTATTCGCCTGACGCTCGATGACGCCTGTGACGCCTCTATTCTGGCTGACGCCTCTATTGGCCTGACGCCCGATGACGCCTCTGACGCCTCTATTCGTCTGACGCCTTTATTCGCTCGGCGCCGAATTTGCCCTGTCGTTCCTATGCGCCAGACGATCGCTGACAGCCGTGACGCCTCTATTCGGTGTGACGCCTCTATTCGGCTGACGCCCGCTGACGCTCCTGACGCCTCTATTCTGCCTGACGCCTCTATTCGCCTGAAGACCGATGACGCTCGTGACGCCTCTATTCCTCTGACGCCTTTATTCAGCTGACGCTCGATGACGCCTGTGACGCCTCTATTCTGGCTGACGCCTCTATTCGGCTGACGCTCGCTGACGCTCCTGACGCCTCTATTCTGTCTGACGCCTCTATTCGCCTGAAGACCGATGACGCCCGTGACGCCTCTATTCCTCTGAAGCCTTTATTCGGCTGACGCCCTCCCGGGACCATTAATATCCAAAATTGCAAAACAAATACTAGAAATCATTAAAATACAGCCAAAATCACAAAAAAACGGTGAAAATCACCAAAATATGCCCAAAAATGCAAAAACACACTAGCATTGTCCGCGGCGGGGGATCTCCCGTGGAGAATCTGGCCCCGAGTCCCCACCAGAGACCATTCGCCGCGGACGGGGCCCGACATCATGCTCAACGGGATCTCCCGGGGCGGGTTTTCGAAGGGGCCCGACACCATGTGAAATCCAAGGCCCGACATCATGCCAAACGGGAACTCCTGGGACCAGTACTACCCAAAACTGCAAAAAAAACACTAGAAATCATTAAAATATAGGCAAAATCACAAAAAAAAAAAACACTGAAAATCATCAAAATATACTCAAATTTTTTTTTTTTTTTTTTTTTTTTTTTTTTTTTTTTTTTTTTTTTTTTTTTTTTTTTTTTTTTTTTTTTTTTTTTTTTTTTTTTTATATATATATATAAAAAAAAAAAAAAAAACTAGCATTGTCCGCGGCGGGGGGTCTCCCGGGGAGAATCTGGCCCCGATTCCCCACCAGAGACCATCCGCCGCGGACGGGGCCCGACACCATGACAAACGGGATCTCCCGGGGCAGATTTTCGAAGGGGCCCGACACCATGTGAAATCCAAGGCCCGACATCATGCCAAACGGGATCTCCCGGGACCATTACTACCCAAAACTGCAAAAAAACACTAGAAATCATTAAAATATAGCCAAAATCACAAAAAAAAAAAAAAAAAAATGAAAATCATCAATACATACCCAAAACTGCAAACAAACATTAGCCCTGTCCGCGGCGGGGGGTCTCCCGTGGAGAATCTGGCCCCGATTCCCCACCGCGCCTGTCATAGGCCTGTCAACAGGCTTGCCCACGGCGTTGGCACCAAACTTGTCAACGGGCCCGTCACCAGTGCTGTCAACAAGCTTGTCAACGGGCCTGTCAACGGATCTGTCAACGGCGCCGTCAACGGCGCTGTCAATGACGCTGTCCATACGCTTGCCAGCGGTGGTGTTAACGGAGCTCGGAATAGCGCTGTCACCAGGTCTGACACTCGCGCAGTCGTCAGGCCTGCCCACGGCACTGTCAACAAGCTTGTCAACGGGCCTGTCACCAGCGCTGTCAACAAGCTTATCAATGGGCCTGTCAACGGATCTGTCAACGGCGCTGTCAACGGCGCTGTCAATGGCACTGTCCGTACGTCTGTCAATAGTGCTGTCAACGGATTTGTCAACAGCGCTGCCACCGGCGCTGTCAACACGCTTGTCATCAGTGCTGTCAACAGATCCGTCAACGGCGCTGTCAACGGATCTGTCCATGGATCTGTCAATGGATCTGTCAATGGATCCGTCGCGGACGGGGCCCGACACCATGCCAAACAGGACCTCCCGGGGCGGGTTTTCGAAGGGGTTCGACACCATGTCAAATCCAAGGCCCGACACCATGCCAAACGGGACCTCCCGGGACCATAACTACCCAAAACTGCAAAAAAACACCAGAAATCATTAAAATAAAGCCAAAATCAACAGACAAAAACACTGAAAATCACCAACATATACCCAAAGCACTGCAAAAAAACACCACACTGAGTCCTCGCGGGGGGGTCTCTCGTGGAGATCTGGCCCGAATTCCCCACCAGAGAACCATCCGCCGCGACGGTTCCCGACACCATACCAAACGGGACCTCCCGGACCATTACTACCCAAAACTGCAAAAAAAAACATTAGAAATCATTAAAATATGGCCAAAATCACAAAACAAAACACTGAAAATCACTAAAATATGCCCAAAACCTTTACAAAACACCATGCACTGTCCGCGGCGGGGGGTCATCCCGTGGAGAATCTGCCCCGATTCCCACCAGAACCATCCGCGCGGACCAGGGTGCCGACACATGCCAAAATCGAAGGCCGACACCATGCCAAACAAGCCTGGAGGGACCATTACTACCCAAAACTGAAAAAAAACACCAGAAATCATTAAAATAAAGCCAAAATCGCAACAAAAAACACTGAAAATCACCAAAATATACCCAAAACTGCAAAAAAACACCATCACTGTCCGCGGCGGGGGGGTCTCTCGTGGAGAATCTGGCCCCGATTCCCTACCAGAGACCATCCGCCGCGGACAGGGGGCCCGACACCATGCCAAATCGAAGGCCCGACACCATGCCAAACGGGACCTGCCGGGACCATTACTACCCAAAACTGCAAAAAAAAACACTAGAAATCATTAAAATATGGCCAAAATCACAAAACAAACACAGAAAATCACTAAAATATGCCCAAAATCATTAAAACAACACTGGAAACCTAAACCTAAACCTAAACCTAAACCTAAACCTAAACCTAAACCTAAACCTAAACCTAAACCTAAACCTAAACCGAAAACTAACCCTAAACTAACCTAAACCTAAACCTAAACTAAACCTAAACTAAACGAAACCTAATCCGAAACCTAAACCTAAACCTAAACCTAAACCTAAACCTAAAACCTAAACCTAAACTCTAAACCTAAACCTAAACCTAAACCTAAACCTAAACTAAACCTAAACCTAAACCTAAACCTAAACCTAAACCTAAACCTAAACAGAAACCTAAACCTCAACCGAAACCAAAACCTACACCTACACCTACACCTCATCTAAACCTGAAACCTAAACCTAAACCCTAAACCGAAACCTAAACCTAAACCTAAACCTAAACAGAAACCTAAACCTAAACCTAAACCTAAACCTAAACCTAAACCTAAACCTAAACCTAAACCTAAACCTAAACCTAAACCTAAACCTAAACCTAAACCTAAACCTAAACCTAAACCTAAACCTAAACCTAAACCTAAACCTAAACCTAAGCCTAAGCCTAAGCCTAAGCCTAAGCCTAAACCTAAACCTAAACCTAAACCTAAACCTAAACCGAAACCTAAACCTAAACCTAAACCTAAACAGAAACCTAAACCTAAACCTAAACCTAAACCTAAACCTAAACCTAAACTACAAATAAAAAACTAGAAATCATTTAAATACCATTACTAACCCAACACGCAAAAAACACCAAAACTGTCAAAAAATACACTAGCCCTGTCCGCGGTGGGGGTCTCCCGTGGAGAATCTGGCCCCGATTCTCCCAACCAGAGATACCATCCGCCGCGGACAGGTGCCCGACCCATGGCCAAATCCAAGGCCCGACACATGCCAAACGGGCGGACCCTCCCGGGACCATTACTACCCAAAATCTGCAAAAAAAAACACCCCAAAACTGCAACAAAAACACTATCACTGTCCGCGGCGGGGGGTCTCTCGTGGAGAATCTGGCCCCGATTCCCCACCAGAGACCATCCGCCGCGGACAGGGGGCCCGACACCATGCCAAATCGAAGGCCCGACACCATGCCAAACGGGACCTGCCGGGACCATTACTACCCAAAACTGCAAAAAAACACTAGAAATCATTAAAATATGGCCAAAATCACAAAAAAAAACACTGAAAATCACCAAAATATGCCAAAAAAAACGCAAAAAAACACCATCACTTGTCCGCGGCCGGGGGTCTCTCGTGGAGAATCTGGCCCCGTTCCCCACCAGAGGACCATCCGCCGCGACTGGGGCCTACACCATGCCACCGTGACCCATCCCGGGACCCATTACTACCCAAACTGCAAAACACACACCAGAAATCATTAAAATAAAACCAAAATCACAACAAAAAACACTGAAAATCCTAAAATATACCCAAACTGCAAAAAACGCCATCACTGTTCCGCGGGCGGGGGTCTCTCGTGGAGAATCTGGACCCGATTCCCCACAAGAGGACATCCGCCGCGGACAGGGGGGCCCCGACACCATGCCAATCGAAGGCCCGACACCATGCCAAACGGGACCTCCCGGGACCATCACTACCCAAAACTGCAAAAAAACACTAGAAATCATTAAAATATTGCCAAAATCACCCCCCGGGGGCCGTATACCGCCCGGGGGCCGTATACCGCCCGACGGACCCTGTCCGCGGCGGGGGGTCTCCCGTGGAGAATCTGGCCCCGATTCCCCACGGAAGACCATCCGCCGCGGACGGGGCCCGACACCATGCCAAACGGGACCTCCCGGGACCATTACTACCCAAAACTGCAAAAAAAACACCAGAAATCATTAAAATAAAGCCAGAATCACAACAACAAACATTGAAAATCACCAAAATATACCCAAAACTGCAAAAAAACACCATCACTGTCCGCGGCGGGGGGTCTCTCGTGGAGAATCTGGCCCCGATTCCCCACCAGAGACCATCCGCCGCGGACAGGGGGCCCGACACCATGCCAAATCGAAGGCCCGACACCATGCCAAACGGAACCTGGCGGGACCATTACTACCCAAAACTGCAAAAAAACACCAGAAATCATTAACATGAAGCCACAATCACAACAAAAAACACTGAAAATCACCAAAATATGCCCAAAATCAATAAAAAAAAACACTGGAAACCTAAACCTAAACCTAAACCTAAACCTAAACCTAAACCTAAACCTAAACCTAAACCTAAACCGAAACCGAAACCGAAACCGAAACCGAAACCTAAACCTAAACCTAAACCTAAACCTAAACCTAAACCTGAACCTGAACCTGAACCTGAACCTAAACCTAAACCTAAACCTAAACCGAAACCGAAACCGAAACCGAAACCGAAACCGAAACCTAAACCTAAACCTAAACCTAAACCTAAACCTAAACCTAAACCTAAACCTAAACCTAAACCTAAACCTAAACCTAAAACCTAAACTAACCTAACCTAAACCTAAACCTAACCTAAACCTAAGCCCTAAGCCTAAACCTAAACCTAAACCTAAACTAACCGAACCTAAACCTAACCTAAACCTTAACCTAAACCTAAACCTAAACCGACACCTAAACCTAAACCTAAACCTAACCTAAACCTACTAAACTACAACTACAAATAAACACTGAGAAATCATTCAAGAACTTACTACCCAAAACTTGTGAAAAAACACCCAACTGCAAAAAACACTAGCCTGTCCGCGCGGGGGGTCTCCGTCGGAATCTGGCCCGATTCCCCACCAGAGACCATCCGCCGCGGACAGGGGGCCCGACACCATGCCAAATCGAAGGCCCGACACCATGCCAAACGGGACCTGCCGGGACCATTACTACCCAAAACTGCAAAAAAAAACACCCAAAACTGCAAAAAAACACTAGCCCTGTCCGCGGCGGGGGGTCTCCCGTGGAGAATCTGGCCCCGATTCCCCACCAGAGACCATCCGCCGCGGACAGGGGGCCCGACACCATGCCAAACGGGACCTCCCGGTCATTACTAACTACCCAAAACTGCAAAAAACACCAGAATCATTAAAATAAAGCCAAAATCGACAAAAAAAATCATCCTGGCGAAAGACCCAACCATAAGCAATTGTTGGTAACGCGTTGTGGGTGCCGCTTTCGGTGGGGCTCCATATGGGCCACGAAGCGCTGCCTTGGATGGGGGAACCGCATGCGGACTGCGCCACCGGGGCGGGCCTTCGGTGGAGCTCCCTATGGGGCTACGAAACGCTGCCCTGGGTGGGGGAACCGCATGCGAGAGCAGCCACTGGGGCCTTCGGTGGAGCTCCCTATGGGGCCACGAAGCGCTGCCCTGGGTGGGGGAACCGCATGCGAACACCTCCACTGGGGCCTTCGGTGGAGCTCTCTATGGGGCTACGAAACGCTGCCCTGGGTGGGGAACCGCATGCGAACACCCCCACTGGGGCCTTCGGTGGAGCTCCCTATGGGGCCACGAAACGCTGCCCTGGGTGGGGGAACCGCATGTGGACACCCCCACTGGGGCCTTCGGTGGAGCTCCCTATGGGGCCACGAAACGCTGCCCTGGGTGGTGGAACCGCATGTGGACACCCCCACTGGGGCCTTCGGTGGAGCTCCCTATGGGGCCACGAAACGCTGCCCTGGGTGGGGGAACCGCATGTGGACACCCCCACTGGGGCCTTCGGTGGAGCTCCCTCTGGGGCTACGAAACGCTGCCCTGGGTGGGGGAACCGCATGTGGACACCCCCACTGGGGCCTTCGGTGGAGCTCCCTATGGGGCTCCGAAACGCTGCCCTGGGTGGGGGAACCGCATGTGGACACCCCCACTGGGGCCTTCGGTGGAGCTCCCTATGGGGCTACGAAACGCTGCCCTGGGTGGGGGAACCGCATGCGAACACCCCCACTGGGGCCTTCGTTGGAGCTCCCTATGGGGCCACGAAACGCTGCCCTGGGTGGGGGAACCGCATGCGAACACCCCCACTGGGGCCTTCGGTGGAGCTCCCTATGGGGCTACGAAACGCTGCCCTGGGTGGGGAAACCGCATGCGAACACCCCCACTGGGGCCTTCGGTGGAGCTCCCTATGGGGCCACGAAACGCTGCCCTGGGTGGGGGAACCGCATGCGAACACCCCCACTGGGG